CACACACACACACACACACACACACACACACACACTGTCCTGCTATTGTCACAGTTACTGTACGAAAGTAAAAAAATAAAATAAAATAAAAATATCTACAAATGTTATTTAGTGGCTGCAGTTTGCAACATTAGATAATGCCTCCTTATTTATGTCACTGCCTCCCTTGCAGGAGGATGACAGAAAAGAGAAAAGCAGAGATGCAGTCATTCATAACGCACCGCTGTTACTGTGTTAAAAATATTATTAAATAAAAACAGGAAACAAGTAGATTTGATTTATGATATAAAATGTCTCTAAGAAAAATCTCACGTTACGTACATCTGCGCCAGTGGTTCTGAAGACTAACCCGTGCTCTGCTTTGACACTGTTGGAATAACAAGCACCACTTCAGCAAATGTTTTAAAATCAGAAAACATTTCTCCAGTCAAAGTGATCAGAAGTCAGCAAGACTTTATTTCCAAATCTCACAAACTGTGGCTTTAGCAGGAGAAAATTGTTCAGTGTGCGCTCGCTCCCACTGCGCCACTGTTTCAGCTGCGCCTCAGATGCTCCAAAGCCAATGCGCTGTCAGCTCCAGGAGATGCATTCAGTATGGTGTCTAGATCTGAGATGATGATCAGATGGGAATATTTTATTTATTTTAGATTAAATAAGACCTCTGTGATGTAGACCTAGTCCGTGCGTAAAGCTGAAAATGTCTCTGTGTGTGAGTGTGATGCCACAGAACCGTCTTATAAAGCCTCGTTGATATCTTTTCTCCACCTCACCTGGCTTATTACGTCTTCCAGACTTAAGCCAGGATACTTCAATAAGACTTGTGACTGTGGGTTGATGATTGCGCAATTTCAGCACATCTTTTCCTGACTGAGTATAGAGCTGAAAATGCATGGGCCATAAATGATCATAAATCCTCCCTCTGCCCTCCCACAACTCATATAAAGTATATAAACTACAATAATGATGGCTGGATAGTGTTTTTTCCACTCAACATCAGTGTTAAGTTGAGTGAAGTAAAGTCGTTTTTTATTTCATTTTATTTATTTTTTCCACTCAAAGCATACTCTAAGGGTTTATCTTACACTTCTTATAACAAGGTTATAAGAGTAATTTAATTAGCAAGGATCTCTTTTATTTTTGGATAAACATTTCTTTAGGGCAAGAATGAATGGACACAAAAAGTAACTCTCAGTCAGTGAATGTTGATTTGAACCATAATATGCGATCATTTATTTTACAAATCATACAAAATTGACTATAGAGTATACCTGATTGTGAACAATTAATTTCCTATAACAAGTTTTGGGACCAACAATAACAAGCTBTTAACTTCTTAATTGTTAACCACATTTAAATAGAAACACAAACATCAGCTTAGATGTTAAATACCAGACATTTGAGGCTGTTTATCTTAGGAGTTGGCAAGGCAAGGTTAAGAAAAAAGTTGAAGAAAGGTGTTAGCTTTTCTACACTTTATCTTAAATAATGTGGGTTTTAACCAGAAGGGTGAAGCGTTCTGTGCTCAGCTTTGGTCAGACCTCGACGTCACACACAGCCAGCTTTTACCTTGAGATGATGTTCTGTCACCTGCCAGGTAGATGAGGGTGCTGCTGGAGAATCTGTCTTTAGACCGTCGAACAGGGGACCCAAAGGCGTGCTCTTTGACTCGTTTACGTCCACGTCAGCCGTAACCAGAAGACAAGGCCTCGACTGGAACCCAGGTTGTAAATAAAACTTCCRTCTGGAGAGTTTCTGAAGGTGGATAAACCAGGCGTGGTTTTCCACACTGTGAGGTTTCCCTGTTGGTGTGAAGGGGCCAAACCTGACAGTTTTCAGCTTTTGATTCCCCGGAGAGAATCTAGCTGTCACAGTGACTGACGGCCGTCAGTCACCTTTTCCTCACTCTCTTTCTTTTCTCTCTGTGCTAGACGGGCGGAAACTGTTAGTTCCTAAAAGCTTAGAGAATCTATGGTCCGCCCTCCAGAAGGTTAGATTAGAAAAAKAAATTATCAAGGAAAGGTTAGTTTCAGAGCTCGCTGTGCCCTCCTGAAACTAAAACAAAGAATATTGCTGCTGCTGTGTGGTTCAGAACGACACATTTCATGACCCATTGAAATTATCTGATGAGCACTTATTTAAAACATAACTGAAAGAAAAATGAATTGCTTCAAGTTCAAAACATTTGCAAATATGATTCAGACAAGTAAAACATTGATATTTCATCAACTTAAACCATAAAGATTATTTTAGTTAAATAAGAATTTTTCCCACAGAAAAAACCATACATAGCTGAAATCATACTGAGGGAGAAAAGAGATCTGTCCTCTCTTCTCCTCTAACTTTGATAAACATTCTCTGATTATCAAAATGCGTAATACTTTCAGTTAAGAGAACAATAAATCAAATAAGAGAAGATTCTTCTGTTTTTATCTAATTTAGAAGGAAAGTGGCCTTGGGTGGCCTAAATACAGTTCTAAGTAGAACAAAGTTTCCGTCCATTCGAAGGCCCATCAGAGGACTGAGAGTCCAAGATAGTTCCTTGATAATTTGACTCGAGGTGACCCCTACATCGGAAAAATATGAACCAGTTATTTTTTTCTTTCTTTCTTTAACATGCAAAAATAACCAGGAAATAATTCAAAATAAAAAATCACACTTTTCTTATTACCCATGTTTTTTCATTTTGTTTTTTTAACAAAACAAACACATCTTGTAAACAAATAAACACAAGTATTTCCTTAAATACTCAGGTTATTACACTCTCCCCCCACCAAAAATAAGACATGCCCTCATGGCTTTGTAGGTAACATTGCAGAAAAACTAACTACGGAATGATAGGGGAGCTTATCCATTTATAGAAACAAGAAACAAATTTCACTGAGTAAATACTAGGACTACCTGGTGTGTCATAAGTAAATCTAGATGGAGGTTTCCGAAGTCTTTGAGATCTTCTAATCTCAGTATCAGTCTCCACGTTGTCTTGGGAGTTAGTCTCTGGACTAAAGGGTATCACATTGTGGGTCTCTGTCTCAGCAGGTCATGTCTGTTGCACACCAGACTGGTCAAAAATGTCAAGTCTAGTCTCGTCATTGGCACTTTGTTCCTCTTGCAAAGCTTTGGTCTGATCCTCAGATAGCATATCAAGGTCCAGGCTGAATGGTTCAGGTGTTACATCATTTCTGATGATACTTTGTGTGACACATGGCATATAGAATGTTTCATCCTCCGAGTCCGTGTAGTCATCATTTCGGTTGTCCTGGTCCAACATTTCAGGGTCTGTGACAGGTTCTTTGTCACCAACTTTGTTTTTAAAAGTCGTCTTACTGTGAGTGTGTTGGTGCCAACAAGTATAGCTGCATCATCCTTGACAACTGGATCAGGACAGACGAGTACAAGTGCATCAACTGACTCTTTCACACAACATCAACTTCCCTGAACTCCAGCTTGAGTGACAAATAGCCATCGTACGGGTAATCAGCAGGACTGAGACCCCATATCTGTAGAGCACGAATAGGTGTCAATGGCAGGTGTGTCAGATATCTGTCATAAAAGCATCTGTAGAGTAAAGTGACTTGAGAGCCAGTGTCAAGTATAGCTTTTGTGTAGATGCCTTCAATCTGGACTGGTACAGCAGAACTTGGGCCAACTAAGCCTTTTGGAATAGTGCCATCTACTGCTTCCTCTGTCTTGATGCTCTTGGAACGTGTCTTTACCTCTGGGACGCCAGGCYGTTCCTTTACTGGGCCCCAGGGCAGTTTCCCAATTTCTTTGTGAGTTTAATGAGCCTTTTGTTGACTTTAGCAAGGTTTTCAACTCCATCACACTCTCTCATATAGTGCCCATCTTCTCCACATCTGTAACAAAAATCCCAGGTTGATCTTTGTGGGTTGATCTTTGAAAAGCTGGCTTTTTGTACTTGTGTTTGGTTCCACTGTCAGCATTGGGAATTTTCGCTTCAGTTTGAGCTACCACTGTTGCAACGGTTGCCACTCTCAGACTGTTCATCTCAGCTTTGAGTTCACCAAGTTCTTTCTTGAGTCTTTCAACTTCAGGATCAGTTTTGTTTTCGGGTATTGGTTTAAGGACTGAGGTAACTGGGTTTGACATAACCATGTCTTTTGCGTAAGCCCTGCCTTGCAACATGTCCTCTTCCTCTCTGACCTCTTTTAGCAAATCGTTGAAGGAAGGTTGTGGTCTTAGTTTATGTGTCATTCGTATACGCATTGCAATGCACCTCTTACAACTTGTTCAATGCGAAGTCGGTTCATGTCGGCTAACTGCACTCCCCCTTTYCTGAAAATACAGTGCAACAGTCTGTCAAGCTTCAGTAGGTACGCAGACAGTTTTTCACCTTCACTTTGAAATGTGTGTCGGAATCTGACTAAGAGATCAGATGAAGTTTCAGTGGTCCCAAAAGCTGTTTCGAGTGCTTGCATATAGTCAATTGAAGTAGCATTAGGATTTTGTGCTCTGAGAAATCTTATTATGTCAGCTGCTGGGCCTTTAAGACTCTCTACAACTCTTTGTTTCTTTACACTGTCACTACATTGCCACTCTCCCAACATGTGTGTGGTTTGCTCTGCCCATGCATCATACTCCTCTTCACCACTAGGTGTCGGCCGCACACCAGAAAACATTCTGAGTTTCCTGTAATTTTGTAGATCAACAGGCGTGGCATTGCATTTGTCAACCAATGAACTGATGACATTTATGAGAGCAGTATTTACATCAGAAGATGAAGGGCTTAACAGTCCTTTAACATCAGACATGCTTTTACCCTCATGTTCAAGAAATGACAATAACTTTGCTTGAAAGTCTTCTGGCTCATCAGTTGTTGATGGTATGATGTGGACTGGCCAGGGACCAACTTCGCCAGGTATGCCAACTTGGTCAGGTAAAGTCTGTTCTGTCACATTAATAAATGTCCGGACTATCACAAAATCAGTCTTGGAAAGTGAGTCTATGTTTATCAGCTATTTTAGTCTTACCAAGAATTTTGACTGTGTTCCGGACTTCCTGGAAGACCTGATCTGGAACATCACAAACACCACTTCGGACTAACACATGAGTAGGATCTAGCTGATGTTTCTTGCACCAGGCTTTAATCTCTGCTGCTTCCATTTTGTCTGTTTAGTACAGAATGCAAAAAGAAGTTAACAAGCCCTACCCTCAAATTTCACAGTAACACATGCAGTAATAAACATAAGCAGGTTAATATAAAATAGCCGACAAAACAGCTAATTTATCCTGAAACGATGCCCCCAAAAATGTAACCCTTTTACCACCTGGCTCGCTATATTGAGGGAGTGATTACTCAGTAGTCAGCTCTCTCTATTTCACTGTGATAAGAAATGTGGTAAAAAAAAAAAGACATTCCAATGTATAAGAAAAAGTGTCTAGGTTAAATATGACTCTCGCTGGTGTTAGTGGTTAAGATTTTTTCCCAACAACTCTGGTTTGTAAAGAGAAAAATAATTACCGTGGTTTACCAGTTACTTTAACAAAACTTATTTTTTCAGTGTACTGTTTGAAGAAATAATAAACACACACAGTACTTCAGGAACTTCCTTTTTGTATTAACTGAACAACAAATTATAACAGAATAATGGCCAAAAATACAAAAACAATATTTTTAATCCCCCAAAGAATCAAAGTTCAGTTTTTAGAGTGCACTCAGTATTTTATGCAAGCTTGCAATAGAATTGTTTGCGCGCGTTGGTGCTCATATTCCTTTTTGAAAACAGTGACGCAACAATCCTACCAGTCTGAAGCAAATCCTGGTCCTCACGATCAGAAATACAGCTGTGTGCATTCAGAATCCTCTTTCMTTGATGTCCCGAACGCAGATGGCTGTTGATTCAGGAGCAGCACCCCCTATTTTCCTCTCCACACAGCTCTNAAATAATTCATGTTTATACACAATAAAGGCAAATAAAGATTGATATCATTGGCTTGATAGACATTTTCTCGTTGATACTGATCTATTTTGAATTTCATGTCCAAGCAACAAATTTTATTAAATCTTCTGAAAAGATTGTAGTTTTATTTTTAACAGTGAAGAGACGAAACGTTTCATTAGGGAAGAACCCGTCCAGAAGACCTARACAATTTTTTTCTTTTTGCAATAGAATCGTTTGCGCGCGTTGGAGCTCATATTCTTTTTTGAAAACAGTGAAGCAACAATCCTACCAGTCTGAAGCAAATCCTGGTCCTCACGATCAGAAATACAGCTGTGTGCATTGAGAATCCTCTTTCCTTGATGTCCCGAACGCAGATGGCTGTTGATTCACGAGCAGCACCCACGATTTTCCTCTCCACGCAGCTCTTAGTCCCGACGTAGCAGCGTTAGCTTCAGCATTAGCCTAGCTTAGCTTACTCAGCTCGGTCCTCGATGCACATCCCAGCTCGCTTCCTCCAGATGCTTGTCATCCACAAACTCCTCTGCTGTTTGTGGAAACCAGGCACATCCATCCAAGCCTGATGTGACTCTGCTGCAAAACACTTTCTTTTTCTTTTCCTCACTTTATGTCTGTGCTATGCGTCAGCCTGCGGGGTCCAGTCGGCTTAGCGCGCTGTCGCTCATACTTCTACGCTTTCCGGTCTTCCGTGATCCATTCAAAGTATACTCGGAAAAATATGAACCACAGTTATTTTTTTCTTTCTTTCTTTAACATGTAAAAATAACTAGGAAATAATTCAAAATACAAAAAATCACACTTTTCTTATTACCCATGTTTTTTCATTATGTTTTTTTACAAAACAAAACACATCTTGTAAACAAATAAACACAAGTATTTCCTTAAATACTTCGCTTATTAAACCACAATAAAATTTCCATTGAAATGTTTTAATTGTATTCACTTCTAGCCAACATGATTAATGGTCAGTATGGATTATGACACAGCTGACTGTATGAGTTGTTGAGCTAAATCAGTCCTTTATGAAAGCCATAAAACTGTACATAATTAATCTTTTTATTTATTTTTCTAGGTTCAGTTAAATATATTTTCATTTAAGATGATTACAAAAGATTTCAGCCATCACTCAAGAGTAGTCTGTTTAAATGGTTAGTTACTTCTGTGTCTTTATTGCACAAATATATGCAGAGATAAACGGATTTGAAAAATGTGGACAAACCATTAAATAATGTACAGTACTTTATAATGTTGTTGCATATTAAATGCACATTTAAATAAAATATATTCATCAGTAAGTCAAAACTGTCTCTTTTTATGGAGTCAGGACTACAGAAGAGGATTAGATTGGGGCACAGAGCAAAAAAAGTTCCCAAGTTCTGATTTTAATCTCAGAATTCAGAGAATAAAATCTGGAGCTGGGAGGGAATTTTATTTGTTTGTTTGTTTGTTTGTTTGTTTGTTTGTACCTAATCAACCTCCAAATCTGAGTCAATGGTCTTCAGTCATAAAACAGTGGATTGCTCTCTCCAGGTTGGGCTGAGATTCTGCCTCAAGTGGAGGAGTTCAAGTATCTTGAGGTTTTGTTCAGGAGTGAGGGAAGAATGGAGCATGAGATTGATAGACAAATTGGTACAGGAGGGGGGGAAAGGGAGCTGAGCAGTGAGGAGAAGCTCTTTGTTTACCAGTCAGTCTACATTCCTATCCTTACCTATGGCCACAAACTTTGGGTAGTTACCGAAAGAACAAGATTGCAGAAACTGGTGATTGAAATGAGTTTTCTTCACATGGTAGCAGGACTTCCCCTTACAGAAAGGGTGAGAAGTTCAATTATGAGAGAGACTGAGAGTAGAGCTGCTGCTCCTCCACATCAAGAGGAGCCAGTTGAGGTGGTTCGGGCATCTGGTTAGAATGCCTCCTGGACGCTTCCCTTGGGAGGTGCTTCAGACATGTCCAGCTGGGAGGAGACCCATCCTTGAAAGATACACAATACATTATTTTGTAAACTGAATTTTTTGAAATTCTATGATTTGATTGACTACAATATTTTACTGTTTATGTACAAGGCTCACAGAAACCTATTACCTTCCAACATTCAGGTAAACTTTGTTAAGAGAGATAGTTGTTATTATCTAAAGTGGATGGAAATATTTGTAAAGCCATATTTTCATGCTTGCTTGAAAGAAAGATGTACTTCATTCCAAGAAAAAGGATTTTGGAATGGTCTGGAAGATTATCTTTAAAATGCTAGATCAATGTTTATATTTAGGAGACAGATAAAGGCCAGTATTTTGAAGAAATATGAAAAGTAAAATGTGATTCTATTTGATTTGTTGTTTGAGTTAATGTTTTTACGTTGTTGTTGTTATTTTTATGTTATTTAGTATTGTTTTGTAAATTATGTTTCGTTTGAATATATTC